GCATTTTGCAGCAAGTCCCTCCTTTTTTAGCTTAGATGAGCCTTTCTATTTTTTTTTTTTTCCCCACTGCTAGTAAAACACTGTTTAGGGCAGCTTTAGATTTCAACAATTTAATGGTTTGCCTTCAAATGTTACCTGTTGCTTTGTAAGTGATTCTTTGAGTCCATGGTATCATACACTTATTTTCTTTTTACCACAATAGCATTTTTGTAAGGTATGTTTCTCTTTACTGCAATAATTAGGGGGAAATACCAGTCTGATAAATACCCAGCCGACATGCTTCATACAGATACATTGAGAGTATTTTATTCAATAAAGTATGGATTTTGTAGGAATATGGACTTTCTGAAGTGGCAACTGTTTTTTTGAAATCTTTCATGTTCTTTCTTCCAGTTAAATACTAGGTGTCTGAGTATATTATTAACTGGTTTTCAGGAAATCATCCAAACTTAAATGAGCATTATTATGGTACTTAGGAGACAGGTAATGTGGCTAGTAATCAGTAAGACTTATTTCAGGTATTTTGGCTTTTGTTGTCTTAACGTGTAAAAAATTACAATACCACTATTGCTGTTATGTTTCAGATGAGTCTAACTGAAAGCTGGTTCAGTTTGGCTAATTCCAAGTTATGAATGGCCCTGGTATTTGTCACATGGTCAACTGGTTAAAGAGTAAAATCATTTTATGTTGTGATAAACAAAGTTTCAAGGGTGATCTAAAGGCTTTTGGATCTAAAGGCTTTTAAACACTTACCCTTCTGCTATTCAGTATTTTAAATAAATTTAATGTAGCCCTGAATTATGTTCCCCTCTTATGACATTTTTATTAGTCACATTTCAAACTTCAGACTTGCCTTCACCTCCTAACAAACAGGTAAATATTCATTTGGGTGGATGGCTGTTCCATCTACTGGTTCCATTATCTAATCAAAACCTCTACTCATCTGCTTTGCTGACTGACATTAACATTAATGTTGTCTGATATATTTGAAAACATCTGGCCCATATATTTTCTTAATTAAATTACATCATTTGCAGACTGTTGATGTAACTTTCCATTCTACAAATGTGCTATTTCTCTCCTTCAATTTACATCAGTATTTGTTAATCTATAGATGCAGATAGTTTGACCTTCACCCTTTGTTCATTTTATATCACGTGTAAGTATAGTACCGTACAGTTTACTTTTTAACTGCTTAAAGAGTTTGAGCCAGTATTCCTGTCAATTTTTAAAATGTCACTTTTGTATCCGTAATTACCAATCCATATGCTAGGTACCTGACCTTCATAGACATAATTACTCTGGTACATTTGCAGAACTGCGAGCAAGCAATTTAGATTTGCAGTTTAATGTTAGTGGCATTTCAGGGAGAAATTTTCACTTGTCACTAAATTTTCACTTGAACAGCTAAACCACTGTCTGCTGCAGACCAAGACAAGGCATGCACTGACCATAAGGCTGAATTTATGGCTACTTTCATATTAGCTTACTAAATAATTTGCCTATGTCACTGATGAAGCAGAATAGTGTTTTCACTCTACATTTTTCGGATGGAATTGGCTTTTGTAAAGCAGAGCTACCAACCAAATAGTGTTTTTCTTCTACTTTCCAAGTACAAGACCTGTACACTCCTCCCATCTCACAATCAGAATTAATTTTCAGACCTCATCTTTTAAAAATTACTTTACATCAGGAATTTTCTAGCTTGAGGCAAACTGAAGTAATTCCACAGAACAATACTGATTTCACTCCCACATAGTTAATGTACCTAATAATCATTGGGTCATTTGTTGGTTACTTCTGTAAGAAACTTGTATAAGAACCACCATTGAGTGTGTCAATGTTTTGCATCAAAGTAAATTATTTACAGTTGTGTGATCATCTCATGGTTTTGCTTAAGCAGCAAAAGCATGGAGAATAAGAATCACCACATGATATTGAGGGGAAACAGAAAAATGAATGACAATAATTTGTTTGAGTCTGGGGAAAGAGCTATTATAAGAGATAATGGCTTTAAAAGCACACAATGGACACGTTAGGGTTCAGCTGAAAGTCTTACAGCAGGAGGTTGGTCCTACCAAAATTACTCTTTTCTGGGAAATATGGCATACATTAAAGGAATATTCAAGCTGAAAATGTACTCAAGGAATATTCAAGCTGAATATTCAAAAGGAATATTTAAGCTGAAAATGGTTATATGTGATCCAATTACATGTGTTTATTTATTGTAAAGGTGAAGTTTGCATTGTGACACTGGGAGAACTGGAAAATATCATTATCTCATCCTGTTCTCGTACTTTTGCAACTGAAATTAATTTAGATGCACAATAGTATATTTATAGTTGTGATATGAAAATTAAAGCCCTGATAAATAGTACAATATTGCAAAAATAAATAAGCAAACTTTGTCATATCGTTATATACAACTAACTCTTCTGTAGAATACTTAGTCAAATATAATGTTGCATTTTTCAAAGTTAAAGCACTTGTTCATGTTTCTGTATGTTTCTGGAAAAAAGTTGTCCCTTGTGACACATTGGGAACTGCATATTGGTAGAAAAGGGGCCAGAAAACTTTGCATTAAGTCATTTGAAAATAATTTGCTCCCACAGATTTTAATCACGTGGGGACCAGAGCTATAAAATTGGGACAAAATAATAACTGTCCTTATTAATCAGAAAGATGTATGAAGATTCTTATATGGGTATTGTCATAATGTATTCTGCTTAGCAAGAATCAATCAAATTTTTTAGCTTATGCAGTCTTCAGAAAAAGAGTAACTATACCATAAAAGTATCAGTATTTCACCAAAAGACAATATTAACTCATGAGGAATGAGCAAAAATAAGCTTCATAGAAAAATACAATATGAAGATGACAAGGTATTAGATTAGTTGTGAGCTACTTAGTGCTTAAAATCAAAAGAGTGGGTCTTCTTGTTCAGTTTCTACTTACGTGCAGGAGCGACTTGTGGTACAATAATGGAATTAGAAGACGAGGCAGAAAAATTCATGTTTTAAAGTCTCTAGTTCATGGGGTACTTTGACACGTCCTTTTTGCGAGAATAAGAAATTACATGTGGAACCGTAAGTCAGAATTCAGCATAGCAAACGCTCTCATAGCAGTGCCTGGATTTGCTCACTCCAGCCCAAGACCCCACAGCTGCAGCTCTGTGGCTCTTTTCAAGAAGGATCTGGAACAAATGAGGCTAAGCCTTCTGCTGAGGATGATGCCTTTCTCTGTGTCAGTCATCTCTGCCACAAAGCTGTACTATGTTTGCTGTTACACATTTGCTACTACTAATTTGGTTGCAGAAGTCATTGATTGAAGTGGATGTTTGATAAAAATTACTGGTAGTTCACATTTTGGTTGGTCCTAGGAGCAAGGAGCATGTGTCTGTACTCATCTGATTCCAGGACACTGCAAAGCCTGCGTACCTCCTAAGCATCCTATTAAATTGAATTATAAGCATTATTAACAATGGTTTGATATCATCAATCCCTTCAACCTTTTAAGTTCTGTTCATTGTAACTGTCCTACAATTACAGTGCAAGTTGTAGTTTGCTGCTGATAGCAGTTTTCTCTCTGTACTTTGTGCCTGGTACTTAGTAATTTATTTCAGACATGGAAGTAGTCTGAGCAGTTATTGAAATCCGTGACCTTATTCACCTTATCTTCCATACAGCACTATTGAATTAATTAGCAGTATTGACGCTTTACCCTACCAGGACTGATATTTAAGTTATTTTAAGGCTTTGCACAAAGTTGACAACATAAAATTACATTTACATTTACTTTCACTGAGGAACCTTAATCAGGAAGACGCATAAAAGTCTTGTTTTAGCTGAAAGGTAAATTAGGAGGCCTGGATTTTAGTGCCTTTACTGAAATGCAGTTTTACAGACTTTTTTAGACATCTTATTTGCCAGTGAGAAAAAAGGGTTCTCACAAGAAATCTGGATAGATAAAACAGTTTAAAAATTGGCCAAGGCAATAGTTGTAGTAATATATGTCAAGAGTATCTGAAAAACAGATCACTGTGTTGTAGTTAAAGAAGATTTTTGTTCAAATAGAGTTAAACACAGATTATCTGCAAGAATATGCACTTTCAATCAAGACTACAGTCAAAATCGTATATGCTGCAGCATTTCTTAGGAGAAGTCTTACCTTTGACTTTAGATAGATAGATAGAGAGGTAGGTAAAAAATGAGATGTATTTCTGCATCCCTCTCCCTCTACTGGTATATATATACTTGTACTTATGCATCTATGCATGTGTATTGATAAAGAGACCAATTTTGAGAGATCATATACTGATTTCTACTTGTGCAGACAACATTTTGCACATTAAGAAATTTCTCAGTGTGTTTTTGAATAATGTTAGATTCTCATATAAATGAATTTTTAAAGGAGTAGTCTTTAAGCTTATATGGGTGAGAAAGCACGGATATGTGTGTTCTCAGTACACAAATTTGTATTCTTTTTTAACAATATTCTTCTATTTATAGCTCTACTCTTATGTGCTTCCTTTGTCCCAAGAGTGCATTTTGTTTTCTGAAAGGTTTATGTAAAATTGATTATGATCTGCAAGTCTCACTGTAAAACAGCAGACTAATACATGCAAGATGGAAATCACCTGATAATTCAAGCAATATTTTTCAGTGATTAAAAAAAATAAAAAAAATATTTCTTCATGTTTTTTATTTCCCTAACTCTGCATTTCTCAGTTCAATGTCATTACATGAGCTTGAAACAAAATTATATTTTTTTGTATTGCAACAAAGAGTGAAGAACCAAATACCTTTTTTTAAAAATATATTTCTTGTCCAATTTTGAAATCTCCAGGCACCACTTCACATTCTTGATGTGGTAGAAATGAAAATCCAGGTGTGACATGCTTTATCTCATGGCTCTAGAAAACATTAGCCTTTACTAATATAGTACTTAGAAAAGAGAATTAAAATTAACTGTATTTAATACTATTTCTGCTTATTTTACAGTTTAACAATAATGCGCAGAACGTCAGTTGCTTTAATCATCTTGTCCAAGCTAATGTGAGAAACAAGAAGAAGCTGAAAGAAGCTGTCTATAAAATCTCTGCTAAAGGAATTACAGATTACAAAAAAGGCTTTAGCTATGCTTTTGAACAGCTGCTAAATGTAAGTATGAAAGTTATCTCTTGCTGTACAGTGAGGAAGGAGAACTTGAATGTTCAGATGGCCACTGCACACTAGATGTTGTGTAACTAAGTGGTAGAAGTGCAAACCTTTCTTTAAAAAGTAAATTTATCCAAACAACTTTTTTTCTTTGCAAATCCCCCAGCAGGTTGCTAAGATTTGGGAATAAATTTGATTTTCAATGTGCTGTACTGTTCTTGTTTCAGTTTGTCATGTCAGCTAGCACATAGCTGTGATATGGTGTATTTATTACATGTCATAAATAGTCAACAACGGCTTGAGCAGGACAGAGGGAAGCAAACTACTTAGTTAACACAGGAATATTAGAGAATATTCTAATTCCTTTCTCCTTCTCATGAATAAAATTAATAGTTTCCTCAAAAATTAAATGCATTGTCTCTGTGCTTTAATTACATTGTAATTTCTAGTTTGCACCCAATCACTAGCTTTCTAAGCAGTAATGTTTCCTATTTACCACAAATGTTGGTAGTACATTGTTAGTCTTTTTTTTTTAATAGTTTGTGTAGTTTGAAAAAAAATATTCATTATTTCATCTTCATGAAGACTCCATACTGGATCTTCACCTTAACATAAATAAAGCTATTCCAGTTTTCAGAAGCTGAGGATTTACCTTAATAAATATAAAGCGTATTTTTTTTAATATATCTGTTTTGTCTCTCAGTATACAAATGTGGTTTGTTTTTTTTTTTTTTTTTTATATCTCTAATCTGCCAGATTCTGGACTTCAGGGAGCTTTCCTGCCATTGTAAATGCATTTAGGTCTAGAGCAGGTTGAAAAATTACTAACCTTTTTAAATTTTGATGGAGGAAAAAAAATACAATGTTTTCAAGGGTATTTTCTCATCAGCTCATTAGATGGGCAGAAGGGTTTGGTGGGGAAATGATTGTGCGCCCTCTGCTGATGGTTATATAAAACTGCAAGCAGGATTTTAAAAGCTGTCAGACTTTTTTCAGACCGGGCTGAAAGGTATTTCCCCTTTTCTTCATCCATCTCATTTAGAGGAAACCAGCAAGACACAAGAAATTTTGCCAAATGAAACTTGTTCCTCATAACATTTATTTTTGATTAAAATGAGGAATTACATGTGGTGCAGGACCAGATATGTACTTTCTGTACAGGCAGTGCTAAGAAGACCTGAAGAGAGGGGAAGCCTCAAAGTCCACTTGTTTGTGGGACTAGAAAAATTGCTTAAAAAAATAAATGGACTTCAGTCTCATAGCGGGACTCTGTGTCTCATAACTGGAGACAGAGGTGTAATTAGCCTCCCACAGCCTCTGCAAGCCTGTAAATTCTAGCTGGACAGCGTGGGTGTGTATATCAAGGGAAATTAAGAGATTGCACTAGGTTATAGAAATACAGTCATCCTCTCCAGATATTGGCAAATCCATTTGGCAGGAAGAGTAAAGGGCTGGTGATGGAATTAGTGCTAGACTCTGGTGACAAGACAATATAATAGGATGATATAATATAGACTTTAAAAAAATAATAAAAAATATGCTTTGGGATAGTTTACAATTGTCTATTTATGAGTTCAATCACTCCAATTGCTTTAAGGTCCATGGAAATTGAATATTTTTTAACAGCTCAAATTTTCATAATTTTTTGGGGGTATTGTTTCTGGATGACAGTTATTTCAAACAATTTTCTGAATACTAAAGTAATGTTTCACTTCTGCCATAAAAACCTTACTGTCTGATGTGTTGCTAGACGGAAATAGATACTTCTGTTTTTTTCGCATACTAATCCAAGTGATTATCAGTAATCTGGATTCCGTCATATTTATGCAGTATTTTTCCATTATTTATTGTTATATTAACTTGTTATTTCTTTGAAAATAATAATGTTTCAGCTTCAGAAATTCAGGAGGGTTTTTTTCCATCATACCATAGTAACTACTATTTGTCAAAGAAATTATCATGAAATCATCTCTTCTTAAGTAGTTGATTTTTGTTTTAGTTTACTTTTTCTTTCCTCAGTGGCATGAAACACATAATGAAAAAGTGTCATGTCATGCAATCTGCCCTTTAAGGAGTTAATTTAGGGATGTGAAACTTGTGTAAAACAAAAGCCATTTTAGTCACAATATAAAATGGAACGTGCTTTGCTTGTCTGTTTGAAAGAAAAAAAAACAACCCACATAACAACAGGTTTTTATCAAGAGCAAGAGAGCACAAAAATTAATATGTACACTCAGTTGCAACCTGAATTCTTCTGTGGTTTAAGCTAAGCAGCCAGTTTTTGTCCTGGGGAAGCTGCTGTATAGGCAACACATTCCTTGTCAGCTGTGATCTGTGATGGGAGGGCAGAGCCAGTTTGCTGAGGCAAACTGTTCAGAAAAATAATGAAATTACTGCATTAGCTTTGAAAAACCCCTTATATTCACCCCCTGAGTCAGTATCTCTCCATCATTGTGCAAAAATGTAGGAAAAAAGATGTGTTGTAGAGGTAATTCTGCCTTCCTCTCGGTCCCTTGTAAGAGATGTATTAAGTTCATTCATCAGCATGTGAAGTTTTTATGGTCAGAAGATATCATATGATTTGACTTTATTTATGGTCATATTTCCATGAAAAAAATCTTGGCTTTTCTTTTTTCCATGACATGACTTTAGTGTCTAAACAGTATAGTGCGTGTCAGTGCCCTTCTGTAAGTACTAGGAGATAAAGAAAAGACACTGCACCTTTCCTGGTACTGTATTAGCAAATTCTAAGCTGCTAGAAAAATCCTGACTTTGTTAAAACAAAGATTAGGTCAAGTTCACATTGCTCACAATAGCACTCTTTTTTTTTTTTTTTAATCATATGAGCAGGCTTTGGTCCCCTTCCCTGTCATCTCTTTGGTTTCCCTCTGAATTTCTTTTAGTCTGTATATTAAATCACTGTAAATGTAGGTGAGTTTCTTTATTTATGAACTATCCAACTCTACTTTTATTACTTTTGTAATATCGAAAATATTGCAGCCCAAAGCAGTATCTTGTAGGTTATATTTCAAAAGTAAAAAATGGTCATAAATTATTTAATTCCCAATGAAACACAGTGTGCTAATGAGATTGGAGAGAATGTATTGATTTCAGGCTTTTTTTCTTTGTTGTTACATGTACAAAAATCTTTGAATTTGTTTTTTTTAAATGATTAAATAAGTAGTTATTCACTGAATATTGAACTACCAATGCAAATCGTCTCTGAGGAACAACCATTCATCTGTTAATACAGTGATTGCAAATAAAGTTTTTGTATTTTAACTCCACTGTAGAACTGTGGAGCTGCAATACTGAGGATTATGGGCTGATGTTTGAGGGTTGGCTTTGGTGTTTCAGTGTCTTTATTGCAGAAGAATAAGGAATCAGATCAGAGAGTAGGATGAAAAGTAATGAAAGGGAGCACCTGACCAGCCAGGTGAAAGTTAGTCATTATCTAGTCAGGAAGACAAAGCAAGGGAGAACTAGATTCTTTGCAAGGATGACCCTCCTATGTCTTTTTCTGACTGTATAGTAAATTCATACGGCAAAATTCAGGCTTGTGGAAAGGGAAGTTAAATTTATTTTGCTGAATCTCTAAGGGTTTTACTCTGTCACATCCAACTACTTAGAAGTACCAAGATGTGTCTGACTCAGATCATTTGTATGCAACAGAGAGAACAAGGAACACTGGCTGTAAAATTCATGAACAATTTGCTCAGACTGGATTCTTAACTTTTAGGGACTAAGGAAAGAAGACGAATGCCAAAGGGGGAGCCTTTGGCTCCTTTCATAAGGAGCCAAAATTCTTATTCATCTCTCTGTTGTTCTGGCTGGGGAACAATGTTTTTGATCCTTTGCACAACACACTGCATTTTTCTCAGTGACTTTACTAGCTACTTTGACTGCTGAATTAGGAGTCAGAGGGGTTTCTTCTTAATTCTCTCCATTCCAGCCTTGCTCTCCAGAAATAATGGCACATGCTCAGCTCTTTACCTCTGACTGCAATCTAATTAGAAAAGTAGGTGATGGAGAGATCATGATAGTTTTTGCAGCTGTAGCTTGGCTGCAATGTATTATTTAAACCTGATTCTAAAATATTTTTTCTAAAGAGTATCTATTAATTTAATGATGGTGATGATTATAATAATAATAAACAGGGAAGAATTAAAAAAGTGGAAGATGGAGCTTATTTTAAGGAAATATGACAACAATAGCAAATGCCAAAATATTTTTTAGTTTATAAGGTAAAGTTTTTAGATGAACGTACAGGATGATTAAATTATCAGAGTTTTCATTCAAGTGGTTGGTTAGGTTGATAGTTTCTGTGAGTAGGAGCCCAGCAGAAAAAAAAAAAAAGAATGTTCAGTAATTCATTAGAGGGTCATTGTTCCCATATTTCCACAAGGACTGTAAAAACAAGAAAAAAAGTAAGGATGAGAACAGAGAAGAGTAAAAATATTTAGAAGCCCTCACTGTTCAAGTCCTATGCAGACCATCTGTAGAGGAACACTGTGGGGTTGATGCGATGGGTATGAGCTAAAGAGCTCATCTCACCAGATCCCCTTTCCTCTGTGTTGGGCCAGATCTGAAATAAGTCGTATTTGACTTTCACAGAACATAAAAATTATTTTGTTTGGTTTGGGGGAATTTTATTTTATTTTATTTTATTTTAATTTTTTAATTTTATTTTATTTTATTTTATTATTATTATTATTTATTTTTATTATTTTTTTTTCTTTTGGAAAGGAGTATTCAATGGAATCCTAAAAGACTTCTGAAATTTTGCCATTACCATGTTAAAATAGTAAGCATGTTGATATGAAAGCCATCAAATATAACCAGTTTTATTCCTTATAGCCTGAAATTTAAAAAAAAAAAAACACTTCTGTTTGTGTTTCCTACAGCACAGTGTCTCTAGAGCTAACTGCAATAAGATTATCATGTTGTTTACGGATGGTGGTGAAGAAAGAGCACAAGAAATTTTCCACAAATACAATGAAGACAAAAAAGTAAGTGATATGTGAAAGATTTTACTACATAAAATACAGCAGCAAAAATAGGAACATTTAAGTATGGAAGTGAAAGCATTTTTGGTATGTGTCTAAAGTACATTTAAAAAACATATTAGTGAACATTAAGACACTTAAATCTTTCTCAATCTATAGCATTAAAAAAAAAAGAAACGTAGGATATATTTAGTATTTTAGACCTTGTGATTCATTAGTCTCAAGCGGTACAGAAATATACCATAAGCCATAAAAAATTAAACTTTTTATTGACATTTTTCTTTTACTAGTGTAATCTTTCCATTTAAGTTATACATATCATCTCCTCACTGTGAATATCTTCTATGTATTTTTGTCGTTCATCAGGCAAAGGCAAAGCCAGATCTCAAGGCTAGAATCCGAATCTGTATAGATTTGGTCTGTAACAAACACACATGTTTTTCCCAGTGAGGCTAATTATACCTCTGAATGTCTTAGCTAGGAGTGGGATGGCTTTCTATTGATGAAATTTGACCTGTGGTTCAACCAGAATTATTGGTTTGACACGAGAATCACTGGATGAGTGTGGTGTTTGGATTAGATTGGATTATTAGCTGTGCTGGTTTTAAATTTTGAATCTAATCAAACTTCTGGTCTGGCTTTTGCATGCTTACAGATGTAAAACTGCATTAATGTGTGTGTGAAACAAAACAGCTTTGTAAATTGTCTCCTACTACGTTTCAGTGCAAATAATTGTGTATAGAAGATTAATCTCTTTCTAAATGAAAGCTAAATGTGAGCTGGGTTCACACAACAATGGAGAATTTACCTTTTCTATTTTTTGGGATGTGCCTATACCTGTTGGTTTGGGTTTTTTGGTGGTTTTGTTTTGTTTTGTTTTCAAAAAGCAGCTAGAAGTTAGATCACAATTCATCAAGACATTTTAACAGTTGCCATGGAGGCTTATGTATAAAGAAATGGAAATACTTCATTGGAAATCCTCATATATTAGAATTAATCTCTTCAAAAGAAGAACTAGAAATGCAAGACACAATTTCCATCTTGACCAGTGATTCACGCAGTGACCTTGAATAATCATTTTGTGTCTGCTTTATAATAGTGTTTCACATAGAATGATATGGTGGGGTTTGGTCTGAGCTGAAAGTACTTTTTAAACTGGTAATTAAAAGGAAGAACTGAAATCATAGCAACTCATTGTGCAGCACACATGGTTGTATTCTGAAAATATATGCAGAGATTACTCTTCAAATTTGGACTTGGTAGCTTTCATTGTGTTCTAACAAAAGCCATCAGCTGAAGGAAATATGTGCAAAAGGGAGAAGATATGTGATTCATTTCTTATTATTTTCCATTTAATTTGCTGTATTAGGAGCAAAGTATAGCAAAATATCCAGTCCAAACAACAAAACAGATGAAACAGTGCTGAAAGTCTTACTCACATCATGCCTGACAATCGATTATCATGTGAAGTATAATGATTAAAATGTAGGATTTAGTAATTTAAAATGGTTATTTTCCTGCTTCCTTTAATAGTGTAAATTTGTGCTGCCAAGCTTAGGGAGAAAAGGGAGCAAAAATGAAAAAAAACCCTCATAGGTTGAGATAAAGACAATTTAATTGAAGAGTAACAGAAGAGAAAATAATAACAACAATAACATCAACAGTAATAATAACAAAAGAATATACAAAATGAGTGAGGCAACACAATTGGTCACCACCTGATGATCCCAGCATACCCTGGCCAGCCCCCATTTATACACTGAGCGTGACATCTATGGTATGGAATATTCCTTTGGGCAGCTGGTCCTGTCTATACTCCCTCTCAGCTTCTATGGGAAGCTGAAAGAGTCCTTGACTTAATGTAAACATTACGTGTCAACAATTAATATATATTATCTCATACATCCAAACCACAGCAGGTACCAGAAAGAAAACTACGCTATCCCACCTGTAATCAGGACGATATAATATAATAAGTTCTCATTGTCTTGTTCACTCTAATGAATGAGGATTTGGGAGTTTTATTGTATGTAACAAATGTGCAATAATGATAATCGTTCAAATCTTAGTAAGCACTTACAATTTTTTACTTGTCTAATAAAATAATGGGTTGCTAGATGCCATCCTGTACTGGTTTTCTCCAAGCTGACATTGGAAATAGAAGACCAACGGGATGAGGTTTAACAAGGCCAAGTGCCGGGTCCTGCACTTCGGTCACAACAACCCCAAGCAGCGCTACAGGCTGGGGGCAGAGTGGCTGGAGCTGCCTGGCAGAAAAGGACCTGGGGGTGTTGGTCGACTGTCGGCTGAACATGAGCCAGCAGTGTGCCCAGGTGGCCAAGAAGGCCAACAGCATCCTGGCCTGTATCAAGAACAGTGTGGCGAGTAGAGCCCGAGAGGTGATCGTCCCCCTGTACTCGGCACTGGTGAGGCCCCACCTCGAGTACTGTGTCCAATTTTGGGCCCCCTACCACAAGAGGGACATTGAGGTGCTGGAGTGGGTCCAGAGAAGGGCAACGAAGCTGGTGAGGGGTCTGGAGCACAAGTCTTACGAGGAGAGGCTGAGGGAACTGGGGTTGTTCAGTCTGGGGAAGAGGAGACTGAGGGGAGACCTTATCGCTCTGTACAAGTACCTGAAAGGAGGCTGTAGAGAGACGGGGGTCGGTCTCTTCTTCCAAGTTACAGATGATAGGACAAGGGGTAACGGCTTCAAGTTGCGCCAGGGGAAGTTCAGGTTGGATATTAGGAAACATTTCTTTACTGAAAGGGTTATCCAGCATTTTTTTTTTTGTGGTTGGACTTGATGATCTCTGAGGTCCCTTCCAACCACTACAATTCTGTGATTCTGTGATTCTGTGAAATACTAAGAAAGTTTTTGCAGAAATAATTTGAAGAACCATTTGTTTTCTCCTTAAATTTTTCAATCAGTAACAATCCTTATAGTGTTGAAGGGAAATTTATCGTTGAAAAACTTCTAATGAGATTGAAACAGTAAATTCATTTTTAGGAATAATAGTGAATCACCCCTGACAATTTTTCATAACATTCTAGTATTTTAAAAAATAAGAATGATGCAAAATATGCTTGTGGTCGTGCTCTCCCGTAATAAGACTAAACTTGATTCCAGACTGATGACATGTGAGCTCTCTTGTTCTTCCCTCTCTTTGTACTTTAATGTTAATCTAGTATAATAATATAATTGACATTTTAACATGAAAAATACAGATATACTCTTAATTTTGTAAAGTCATAGTCACAAAGTATTACCTTCTTAACTAGTATATTAGGCTGCTGCCATATATTAAAAGACTAGTGGATCTAGATTCTGTTGTCTTTATTGCAGTTAATTTATATTTTATTTCATAAACAGCCCATTGAATGTAAGACAAATTTTATAATTATTATTTGTAGAGAGACTGTTCAATATGAGTAAGGTGTTAAAAAGTGTTCCATCGTAGCACTTCATAGTCTAAATAAATATCAGCTGATGTCTTTTCATGCCTGCTCTGCACTTGTTTGAACATTTCTCTTCAAACTTTGCATACAGTATAGAAAAGATGAATCTTTATTATCTTATTATGTCACAGTCAATAACTTCCCATCTTAGGTACACAGTGTTGTAATTTATTTTTTTTTGCTTGTACAAACAAAAGACCATTCATTCAAATCTATTAATCCTTGTTTTCATCTTCCTGATGTAAAACTGCTTCGGCTCTAAAAGTATTTTTTCTTCATGTCAGTTACTTTGTAATTCCTTGGCATGAAAGAAGATTCAATAAGTTTTGGCCCATTAGATGACATGACGTAGTGCACTTGTTTGCAGTGCCCTTAGGGCAACCTTCAAGTTAAGATGTGAAAGAATACAATAAACAATTGGAAACTACTAAAAAGAGCACACTAGAATTTAGAGGCTGGAAAACTCTCCTATTAAATTAGGGGATTTAATCTGTTTGAGACAGTATACAGGTAAATTTAAAGTAGTTTTCTGTTTTTACAAATTATTTAAAGTATGAATATGGGAGTTATTATAAAACTTACACAGCAAAATTTTGAGAAAAAACACTTCTATATTTAATCTGTTTGAAGTGGAAAATCACAGCTGTGATTCACCTTTACATGCCTTTTTCTTTTTATAAAGCCAGATTTTATTGTAACAGACTGCAACTACATGCTGTGCCTGATATTTGAAATCTGGCATGTTTACCTTTACGGTGACATTTGGGGCACTCACATTAAATGTGTGAAATACCACACACGTGCTAAATTTCAGGAATGGGGGTGGTAAATTTTCATTTTATTTGCACTCATACTACAGATGGCTTCACTGAAGATAGCAATATAAATTTAATTGAAATGAAGGCCCAGTAGGCGTTCTCCATCCTGAGAATTTTGAATTCAGGTTGAAAATAGAAAACTAACTACAGCTCCTCAGGGCAGATTGTGCACCCTGAAATCTGTGTTTTGAAGGATTGCTCAACTTATGTGAATAGGAAAAGACCTTAAATATACCTCATGCACTTTCAGTTGTTCGAAGTTTCCTGGCATGATCGAGGCTTGTGTGGGTCAGACAGATTGATCTGACTCACACAGGTAAGAGAATCTGACTCCTCAGGTAGGAGGAGAACCTTAAAGTGGGTTTCATGTCCCACTTCCACAGAATTATCTTTCATGACTGGCACTGGTGAGGCTGCATGTTTCCATTTAAGTTATACATATCATCTCCTCACTGTGAATATCTTCTATGTATTTTTGTCGTTCATCAGGCAAAGGCAAAGCCAGATCTCAAGGCTAGAATCCGAATCTGTATAGATTTGGTCTGTAACAAACACACATGTTTTTCCCAGTGAGGCTAATTATACCTCTGAATGTCTTAGCTAGGAGTGGGATGGCTTTCTATTGATGAAATTTGACCTGTGGTTCAACCAGAATTATTGGTTTGACACGAGAATCACTGGATGAGTGTGGTGTTTGGATTAGATTGGATTATTAGCTGTGCTGGTTTT